CGCTCGCGTGCACGGTGGGTGTGTCTGGTCTCATTCTTCACGCAGACCGGACACGTGGCCGACGCACGAGAGTTTCCTGGACGTCGAACGCCCGCTTCCTTTCCGCCTCCTCTTTTTCATCCCCTGATTGGCACTTTAAAACGCGCCGGGGACGGCGCGACGAGGAAACGGACGCGCCGCGCGTCGTCGACGCGTTCGAACGTCCTCGACGGATCCGGCCGATGCATTTTCGAGATGGAAAACCGGTGTCGCGTAGCTCGTTCTCCGCCGCCGATTCCGCTCCGCGTCGGTTGCTTACTGGAACGTCGGATTTTTATGCGATTTCGCAGCGTCCGCGAGGCAGAATACGCCGTATTCGCCGCGAACGCGGACGCGGCTTCGCGGAGCCTTCGGAACTAATTGAAATCGCGGCGAGCTGCGCCGCAATTGAACCGCGCGGATTTTTCTGCGTTTAGAATAAAAACGGCTGGACGGAGTTTCAGACGATGTGAATATTCGAAGAATTTGACACTAGATTTACGGAGCACGAAAAACAATCGTTTTATATTATATTAGCTTATAACAGTAGCAATGAGGCGTTTATTCTGATTTTTAACAAGCGTTATTGCAACATTTGCCGTAAGTGAGATATAAATTGAATAAATAACGCATAAATGTATCTTTAAGACATGAATAATCGTAAATGAAAAAATATAGCGTTAGGATATCCGTGTAAAATTTTCGGCACACTGAAATTATTCGAGAAAGAGAGAAATTATTGTCCGACTAAACTCTTTGTTGCAATTGATAAACTTCTATTTTGCACAAATAATATAATACATGGTTCTTATTGCTTTTAGTGCAAGAAAACGCGACATCCCATTCGCTCCAAGTGCGACCATAGTTTGCGAAACAGTGTCCCCAGAAATCTAACGATTTCAGGATACAGTAATGTCTCTCTGATTGACGCTCAGATTGTCCACAGAAATGGACAATTTGAGAAGAGGAGATACGATTTCGATTCGAGCTTTGCAGCTCGTTTTTATAGTTATTGACAATCGATAACCATATAAAACGAGTCACAAGGCTCGAAACCGTAAAGCTCGAATAAGCGCATCTCCTCTTTCCAAACTGTCCATTTTCGTACATAATCTGAGCATCAGTTAGGGAGACATTACTGTACTTCTGGAGACAAGCGTCGCGGATCAAAGTCGAAGCAGCACACCCCTTTCGCCGGGGGTGTTCGGATCCCGGGATTCGTTCGCGTTTCATTTTCCCCGGTTCCACTGTTTTCCAGGCCCGCATCACGGTCAATTAATAGGAGTCATTTATAAGGGCAAACCGGAGAATCTGGGAATCCGCAATCCAGCGGGGAGCAATAAATCTCGAGTCGGCGAGAGCGGGATGGAAACGGAACCCCTCTTGTAAGCTGGTTGTATTGTAGCTATTACCGAGCCATGCATCACTAGGTAACAACCACACGGTTCACTATCCTCGTCCCTCACCCTGCAGCCCCTCGTGCTTTCTCTCTCTATTTCTCTCTCTCTCTCTCTCTCTCTCTCGTTCGCTCTCTCTTCCTGCTCCTTTTTAGACCCCTCTTTCACCCCGGTTCGTTTCCCCGAAGAGGAGAGCGGAGGACAGGACGCAGAAAACCGGGACGTCTGGGAAGTTTCGCAGCTGATATCGTGCATGGACCACCCAGGTGTGCCGCTTCTCCTCCTCGTGCCTTCCGTGGCAGCGAGCCGTGGCCTCGTTCGACATTAGCAGAAATATTAAGCGACGCACGAAGGGTGTTTGCGTGCCCGCTCGACCGGACCTCCTCGTTGATGAGCGGATCGCGACACAGGGGGATGTTTTGATCGCCGGGGAACACCGTCGCTGTCCCTTCGCGATTAAATTCGTCGAAAGCCGGGGCTCGGAGCTGTCTGCCAGAGAATCATTAGCCTAGAATCATCTGGAGAAATCGCAGGAGATGCGAAGGACGCGAGGCTATCGATCCACCGGGTCCACTGATCGGGACCGCGACGCAGCTGGATGATTTCGAACTAGCAGCTTGCGATTACTACGTCAGAGGGGCCTTTACCGTTTTCTCACGTTGAAACTCATCGATATCCCAACCTAAACAGAGACGCTGCTGTGGAATCATCATCAGCTTGGATGCTTGATGAATCGTGGAGAAGACGAACGAACAGTACGAAGTACAAAGCCGAACGAATCCTTGGTAATGAACTTCGAATCATCGACGAGATCGATCCGCGGACGATATGGGGGATGTTTCAACCCCGGATCGCAGTCGACTGTCCTGCCGGCTAAAATTCGCCGAAAAGCGTGTCTAAACTCGGAACTAACTGCCGGCGAATTATTAGCCTGGAATCTTGAGAAATCCGGAAGTTTACGCTCCAGATACTCGCGACAGAGGACGCTAAGCGATAGCACCGAGCGGAAGGGAGGCTAACATAGGAGATCTCGGTGCGCGAGACACAAGACCTGCGAAAAAGAGCAGTGGAAAAACGAACGAAAGACCGGAAGAGAATCCACGTTCGCCGGCGCGGCGCACGGTCTCACTCTTTCTCTCTCTTTCTCTCTCTCTCTCTCTCTCTCTCTCTCTCTCTCTCGCTCGTCGAACGAGCGTCGGCTCGAGGAACGGAGCGGGCTGGCAGAGGGGTGGATGCCGCGGGATGGTTGACGAGGGTGGTACCAGCCTTCTCCTCGCGCCCTCACCGGGCGCTATAGTAACAATACGGGGAAACATAGGGAAATCAATATGGCTTCCGTTGCCCTCTTCCCTCCCGTCTCACCCGGTCTTTCATCCTCTCGCTCGCCCCTCCTCGAGCCTCTCTGTTGCTCCAGCTTCGCTCCTGCTCCCAGCCTCGTCTCGCTCCCTCTCCCGGCCTCGTCTCGTCTCTCCCGTTCTCTCTGCAGGCCGCTCTCCCGCGCTCAGCGCGGACGGGTGAACCCATTATGAGGGGGTGTTACTCCGGGCCAATCCCCAACCATCCGGAGAGAGAAACTGGAGAGACGAGAGTCCAAGAAGGGCGCATGTGCGTTGCTAGGGCCACCGGATGGGTCGCCGAGCCTCGGGAACGCGAATCGGACACCCGGTATACGCGGTCAGCCTGCGAACGAGTACGCCATAATTGCGAGGCCAACGAGCCACTGTCTTCGATGCTACTTCCATTTCGGTGGCAACGTATTTTTCGACGGGCAACCCACCCGATCACGACGACACACCGTTCTCGACGAATCTGGAACTCGTGGCAGCTCTCTCTCCTCGAGGTGGTTTGTTCGTTAGTTTCGGGGGCAAGTGCCACCACCCCCGTCGAGGAGCGAGCTTCCCTTTCCTTGCAGGGAAATCGTTCCGACGAATGCGTCGAGTCGCGTGTACGGAACGGTATTCGAAATAATGCGGCAATTATTGGCACAGCGAAATTGACGACGTTTGAAACACCGGAAGACAAAATATATTCTTGCTTCAGCGATTTAATTGACGAGCTGTACGGGGAGCTGAAAAAGCGTGGCGAAGAATGTACGCAAAATTTCGCGCAAGAAATAACAGTTTGCAAAAGAGTGGTCACTACTGCATTGCTACTACAGTAAAGAACGCCAGATTTTCAACTTTGAAGTTCCTCGGTTTGCTTGCTGCGGTGCGGGGTTATAACACGCGAGTTTTTGCATGAGGCGACGGGCAGGGACAGAAAACTCCCGAGATGTAATTTTACACGATGCGAGGGAAGAATTGTTGCGCTGAGAGATGGTTTTTGGGTGGAGCTCGGGATGAGAATTGGTTTTTTCTCATAGGCCTCACTCCTGTTAGCGGCTTATTCATGGGAACGACGAGATGGGTCCCCACTACTAGGAGAAGCTGCAACAATTTTCCGTATATCAGAAGTGAAAATTCGAAGTCCTGATTCCGGAGGAGACTCCTTTTAAATTCCTACGGAGTGTGGACCCCCCTCCACCCTCAGGGTACCTGTCGCCGTTTTTTGTCTCCATCCCATTTAGTTGCGGAAAGGGTGGGCCTGATTGCGGAGAGAACTCTCTCTTCTTCAAGCCGAGAGAACACCCCCCTCCTTCAGAGAACCTTCCGGAGGGAAACAAACCCCCCCTTCAGGAAACCTTGACGCCATACATCTGCTGGGAAGGGAAACTCTGGAACAGGTGCTCTTTTGGTTGACATCCCTGAGTAGCCCCGGACCACGGAGATAGAACGTTCGGATCTTCCTTATATACTAACCGAAAGGGTGCCGAGCACTTGCGAGAAAGCTTGCTGGATCGTTGGCCCTCTGGATGGCGGGTCGAGCAACGTCTCCCAGCTGCTGGACCGATCGATACTGAGCAGCCCTGCTCTACCAACAGCAGAGACTGCGAACGCGACGTGGAATAAGTACAATCGCTTTTTTAAAGTGTAGAAACGTTAGAAACGCCGACGAACTAAAATATATGCAAAATATTGCGAGACAGAACCACAGAATATTTCAATAAATCCCAGAAATAACGTCGATGAAACGAGTTCAAATGCCTCTGCTAGAATGCAACGGTCGTTACAGAAGAACTCTGCAGCTCGCAGCTGGTTCGATCGTTCCCTGCAGCTCCTCGGAACGAGCAGAAGGTAACAACGGAGCACGGCACGATTTTACCGACAGCGGATCATGGATCATCGTCGGTAAGATCTGGATCCCTTTGCCGCGAGTTATCGTCGAATCGACGTTCAAATATTTTATTAAATAATTCCCTGCATCGAATCGATCGGAGCAATTTGCTAGTTTAACGACTAGAAAGAAGCCTGAACGATCACGGTACGATATCAAAGTACGTTCGATCGAGCAAAAGCAATCGATTAGTTAAAGACGAATTTTCTCTTATTTTCCTTAACATTCGCTGGCCGAGGACAGCGCGATCGTTTCTCGCTAATCGTCGGAGCGATTAAATCGTATTCGAAGATCGAAATTCGAATCAAGGTCGTGTTTACGTACAAACACGATCGCGGTACACAAGAAACAAAGCGAGACGAGATCGCGGCGGTGTCGCGAGGGAACACCAAACAGATTAGTTGTCGTTCGACGTTGTAACGGTCTCCGTTGGATCATCGAAGCACAGATCTCGATACAAGCGACGTGAACAAAGAGATCGCGATACATACTACGAAGCCGAAGGCGTTTAGCAAATTTAACCAAGAAGATCGTCCGATTATGGCATTATCGTTAGCCCTGCCGTTGTCCGGTCTGGACGCCGATCAGTTTTGCGCGTTAGGGACGAGACTCCTCTACGAGCAAGGTCTGAGAGTTTTGACTGGCCGCAGGCCGATCTCGCCTAGCACCGGAAGCGAATCGAGTGGAATCTGCAGCCTGGTACCTTCTATCGAATCGACGACACCGGAAGAAACGCCGGTTTCCAGCAGGCCGGACACGCCCGAGGAGGAAGCTACGGAAGAGAAAGAGGTGGTAGTTGGCGAATCGATCGAATTCAAACTGTTCGTCATCCGGGTTAACCGTCGCTCTTTTCCCTAGGATAATCAACCGGTCCACATATACTACAAAGACCGGGACATACTCAACCTAGGGGCGAACATCAGAGAACCGTTCTGGCAGATGAGGGTCCCGACGACGCCAAAATGCGACTTCAAGAGCTTCATGGAGAACCGATCGGTGTTCTATCGGCTCGGCGAGTATGGATTAATGGAGGAGTACCCCAAGGTGAGCACCACGCTCCTAACCGACCACCACCCTGAATTTAGACGAATTCGAGGGACAGCCATTTTATTTTTGCGACATTCGAAACACAGGACAGACGTATATTCGGACGCGCGGGACATCGAGACTTTGTTGAGTATTAATTAGATCGGAGACCCCTTCGGAGAGGTCCTATCAAGGTGGTAATAGTTCCGAGACGCGACATTATTCCGTTCGATTTAGAACCGAATTTTCCGGTGTCCCGACAACCGAGCGTGAATCACTCGCGCATCTTTCTGCCGCGCCGAAAGCAGCTCAAAGGAAGCATCGAGTGTGTCTTCTCGGGAACGTTTCCGCTCGAATCATTCGGTACCCGCGGTGCTCCCCTCGGTGGTTTCTTCTGTGCCGATGCTCGCCTGCTTCGTTTGGAGAGTCGTTAAGTTGGTCGGGCTCGCCATCGTTTGGAATTGATAGAATACGGGCAGAGAGACGATCAGGCCGATGGTCCAATACTTCACGTTCAGGGATTTCGGGAAATAGGGAAGCTGGGTGATTCTCGTGCCGACCAGCGAGAGCTTGGTTACCATCGACTGCGTTGGTATGTGTTCCAGCAGGGACACCATTCTCATGTTCTGAGAAACCAGACGAATTTTATGATGGCACGGATCGCTTGAATCTTTTGAACGTGAAGGAATTTTATTCCGGGGGAATATGAAGTATGGGATTTTAGAACTGAAGAATAGAATTTTAGAATTGGAGGATAGAGTTTTAGAATTGAAGTGTGGAATTTTAGAACTAAAGAATAGAATTTTGGAATTGAAGTGGGAAATTTTATAACTGAAGGATAGAATTTTAGAATTGAAGAATAGAATCTTAGAATTGAAGTGTGGAATGTTATAACTGAAGGATAGAATTTTAGAATTGAAGAATAGAATTTTAAAATTGAAGTGTGGAGTTTTGTAACTGAAAAGAACAGAATTTTAGAATTAAAGAATAGAATTTTTAAATTAAAGTATAGAATTTTATAAGTGAAAAATAGAATTTTAGAATTGAAGAATAGAATTTTAGAATTGAAGTGTGGAATCTTATAACTGAAGAATAGAATCTAAGAATTGAATTGTGGAATTTGATAACTGAAAAATAGAATTTTAGAATTAATGAATAGAATTTTAGAATTGAAGTGTGGAATTTTAGAACTGAAGTGTGGAATTTTAGAAATGAAATGTGGAATTTTAGACTCGAAGTGTAGAATTCAGAATTGAAGTATGGAATTTCAAGATCGAAGTATAGAATCTGAATACTGAAGAATAGGTTTTTGGGAATGAAATATACGATTTTGTCGACACGCACTTTCGGAAGTTTGTTCTTGAGGCTCGATATCCTGACGTCCTTGATTTTGTCGTGAACCTGACGGTACCGAGTCGTCAAATAATTCTGCATGGTTAATTTGTCTCCACCAGCTCCACGACTTGCCAAAATCAATTACCGACGAACTATAGAGAATATCTGTGAAACAGACGCTCGTGAATCCTGCTGAGATTGAGGAATTCGATCATTCCCTCTCTGCTGCCAAGATTCTGTCAAAACTCTGTCATTTTGGGCGATTCTAAAACATCGCGAACAAAATCATCGCGATAGACGTTCGCAGCGAAAATTTGTTGTGAAATAAACGAAATCGTAGAAGGCGTGGTTTCGCGGTCAAATCAAATTGATATCGTGATGCTTTCTCGCAGGAATTTTTGAACCTCTGTTGACTCAAATTAAACCTTGAAGTGCGTACTTTTCTGTAAGTTTATTTTGATTTAAAAGAAAGTTGTAGACGACTTTGGAAAAATAAAACATCCAGATCCATAATCCCGAGGCAAATCATTTGATTTCAAACAGATAATTCAAGTTTATTGGAAAATTTATTCCCGTTGGACCTTTCGAGTGCAACTTAGCTTAAATTAAAGCTGAAAGTGTCCGCATTAAGACAGCGTAGATTAATTTCGAAAATAATCAGAAAATCACTTCGATAAATCGAAAAATTCAGATCCCAAAATCGGAGTAAAATGACTCGATTTCAAAGAAAAACTTCAAATCAATTTCAGATAGGATTCCCGTAGCAATTTTTTAATTTAATTAGACTCGAATTAACGCTCGAAGAGTAAGCTTTAAAACGGCATCATTTGTAACTCGTGGAAGATTCTAAATCATTTCGAGATATCGCTAAATCGGAATCGGTAACTCAGCCAAAAATTACAGAAATTCGAGGGGTAACTTATGCTCGCGATTTGCGATGGTCCTTGGAAATTTCAATCGCGTAGGAGATATGCTTGCAGCTGCATATGCGGACGAACATTTCTGTTGCAGAGGAATTGCACCGACTGCGGTTTCAGCGAACCCTCGCCGTACCTGTTTTAACGTGGTCGACGCGTGGATCGCCGACGTATCGGAAGACGTCGCGGGCAACAAACTGTGATAGTCATGAGAAAGCGGCAGCCGGCTCGAGAACATATATCCGCGAGACGAAACAAAACGTCTCGGAGAACGTCAGCGATGTGTATAGGCGCGTTTCTCGACGGAACGTGAGAATTCGCTCGCGCGAAAGAAAAAAAAACACCGTACTAATTTATGATGCGAAACGAACGAACGAACGAACGAACGAGCGCGAAGCGTTTTGTAGGCGTGACATGACGAGTTTGTACGCAAGACACACTATTTCTCTTTTTTTTTTCACTCTGTGCGCCGGTATCGCGCTGACTGGATGATTGATCGTCGGATACAATCGACGCGGATTCGTTTATAAAAATTTCCCGATTTTTGTTCGCCGATGATGCGCCGGTTTCGCTCGACATTAATCCCGTATCTGACGATTACATCGTTTGCCGACCGTATCGGATAGCCGGTTTACGGGCCGCGATGTTTGTTTTTCCTTTTTACGTTCTTTCAATCTCTCCGCGCGCTCTGTGTATATATATTTTTTCTTTCTATTGTATATTGCCTATATATCGAGGAGCCGCCACGCTATGCAACCCGTGCATACGCAGCGAGCCGCTCGAACGAATGTTTCTTGGTGTATTATCCAAATGTGAAACACATGTCGCGTGTACCGTCGGGCGATTCCAAAGATCGTTGTATAGCCGAGATAAACAGTTGCACAAAACGTAAGGGCCGATTCCGTGCCGTCTATACGTTGCCGAAGGTTCGTGTTTGTACATAAGTAAGATGATTAAGGAGCGTCTCCGGGCGATCTTCGTCGAGACGTTTCACGCCGGAAGATCAACGAGACTCCCACGGAGACGCTCGAAGACGAAAGAATCGCTCGACGTGCCGTCCGCGTTTCCCTTTCGACGAGGCTCCTCGGCGCGACGCGACGCGACGCGGCGCCACGGCGCACCCGTCGATAATAATCCATTAATCGACGTCAAGTTCGTAATTCCCAGCCGGGTGAGACTCTCTATTCTCTTCCGTCCGCTTCCTCGTGGCTCTTCTTTTTCACGCGGAATCGAATTATCGCGGGCCGCGTTCCATTAAACACCGCCGCTTTGTGCGCGACGACGCAACGCGCGACCTATTATAATATTACGCGGGATCGACCGTCGCGCTATAATTATAATTGGCTTAATACATTTTCACGATAAATGTAACGCGCGCGCTCGCCGGAGTATTGTAATAATCGCGCCGAAGCCATTCCGGCCAGAGTCTTTACTGACCATTGTTTATAAGCGGGGTAATAAACAATATTTTACAACGGGGCGCGACCGCGTTACGCTCAATTATTTCACTGATGCCCATTAAGCATAGGATTTTCATTCATCAGCCGACGATCGATGTATCATCTCGGCACGACGATGCACACCGCCGATTATCTCTACCCGCTGTCCTTTCACTATGATGAAACGATACGGCGCGACTTCGTCTTCCAAACTGTCGAGGTAACCAACGATTCTCCAGCGACGATCCTACAAATCCATATAGGTACGGTAATGTCTCTCTAATTGACGATCAGATTCTGCACGAAAATGGACAATTTGCGAAGAGGAGATACGATTATTCGAGTCCTTGCAGCTCGTTTTTACAGTTGTTGATAATTCGTAACTATAAAACGAGGCAGAAGACTCAAATTAATCGTATCTCCTCTTCCCAAATTGTCCATTTTTTGTGCGCAATCTAAGCGTCAATAAGGGAGACATTATTGTACTTGCTCTCTCTCTTCGGAATTTTATCTGTCTACTCTCGGCGCTGAACTCTGATAAACCTATCAACGACTAAAAGTGACTAAAAAACTAGAAAATGTTGATCGCCACGAGGTAGATGAAGTGTTCAGCAACGAAGCGAATAATGGTGGCAATTAAACGACGCTGAACAAGTCGCCATTAATACGCGTCCATGCACAATTATTTCAAAATTCGTGTAATCCTCAATCAACTCGTCTAGTTTGCAACGTTCCAACGTCGATTTGTTCGCGCTTACTAATTCGAAAATATGAAATTATAAATAATAAATTCCGATTATTTACGGAAACAATAACTGCCAGTGATCGGCACTCCGCGTAAGGACCGAATCGACAAGCTTAATTAACAGATCGAGTATGAAATCACGGCGTACCGTTTGTAACGCGAAAGACCAAAATGTTTACGAAAGGGGTGAATCGTTGGTGCCGAGCATAAATTGTGCCGCTAATTAGCACGATCGAAAAGTTAGCGGCAAGATGGCTCGCCCGATTGACGCAGAAGCTGACCCAATATTCATCGGGGGTGGGGTGAGGAGCACGAGATTCCCCGCGAAGGTTTACGTGCGATCGCGCAAAGAGCCGAACGTGTGAAGGGGTTCGGCGGGGCGCGGCGGGCGGGGTTGGCGGGCGCGCGGCGGGGTGTACGCATGCACGCGAGCGAGTGCGTGCGCTGGTACGCGCGTGGGTGCGTGCAACGCGCGAGAGATGTGCACGACGACTATTCAGATATTGTTGTTATTGTTGAGGGAACAATCGGCCGTCAATAGGCTGCCCCGGCACAATGTATCTATTCAGGTGCGGTCAGGGGTGCTCAATCGATCGGCCCCCCTCGCTCGCGATCCTCGAAAAACCATCGGCGAAAGAAAGGAGGTAAGCTGCGAGCCGAGGACCGGCCGACACCCGTCGCTCATCCGGTATGGATGAGACGAAATCGTTTCGATGATGACTCCGCGATTGGGATCGGAGAACGTGATGCCTCACGGACGTCCGTGATCGTTCCAGCTATCCGGGGAGAGGGATGATGAACGATGGTTAGGTAATCGGAAAAACGGACGCTGTTCCGACGAATCGAAAAGCCGCCGGCTCTGACTTAACGGGTTAACAGACAGGCGGCAAACCTGATCGCGAGTTCCAGGCCAGAAGCGCTTCAATCTTTTGGATTTACGTGGAAACGATTCGCCGATCTCTTTGGAAGCAAGGACGTTGTTCCAGCTTTCATGGAGTTTCCGTGCAATGGTTGATGCTTTCTGGGAGGACAGGGTGATGTAGACATGGGTCACTCGCTGTTAACGCTTGCGGTAAATTCTGGCAAATTTTCCTTCAGCTTGGAGAACAAAAATGGACGATTTGGGAAGAGGAGATACGATTATTCGAGCCTTGCGCCTTGTTTTCATAATTGTTGGTTCAAATCGGGCCAAGTCTTGCCTACGGGCAAGTCCTACGTTATTGCTTAAAAACTCCGCGATGAAAGCTACAGATCAACCTAGCTAATTGCAGTAAATTCTCCCTAATTTTCCTTCAGCTTGTGAATGATAATAGACGATTCGGGAAGAGGAGATACGATTATTCGAGCCTTGCACCTCGTTTTCATAATTGTTGGCTCGAATAATCGTATCTCCACTTTACGTGTTAAAAGTTATAGAAAAGAAGACTGTTAAATCGAAAACACGTAATAGAACAGCTCCATCAATTTCTCTTAATTTAGAGCGATTACGAAGCGATTCGTTGAAGCAACGTTTCTTTTCGATAAAGTGTGTCCAGACTGCATTTACAGTCTTCCTATCGCGTGATCCTAGAAGACACGATGATCTCTATCTTGCTCGTCAATTCCACTGACCGTGGACAACGCCATTGCCTCGGAAAGTTTCCTGAACCGTGGGAGATTTACAGTAGGATCGAAGAAATCCTGGATCGAAGACGTCGACGGATGACAGATGACAGACAGCGAGAGACCGGGAGAACCGCGACACGGTCGCGATGCCGCGAAACAGGATCTTGATCGAGTGTCCGACGATCTCGAATCCAGGGTCGGCGAGAATATTAAGCGCCGGGGCCCGCGTAATTATCAGTTTCACATTTAAATAGCCGCGTCGCTTTGGCATTAACTGCCATTGATTAGATACATTGTAGAGTCGGGGGGCGGGGTCGGCAGGGGGCGGGCGGCGGTGGCTAGGAGCACGGCTGGTTTGCGGGCATAAATCGGCTATCGCTTACAATTATTATTATCCGGCCTGTGCTGGTATTTAAACCGATAAACGGCTCGCGGAATCGCGATGGCGCGGCGTCATTGTGCGTTAGAGAAGCATTGAAAAGCCCCCGGATGGACACGGTCGGCGGGGCGGGGGGGAAACGCCGGAGGGACGCCGGAGGGACGGGACGGGCCGGGTTGGGAACGAAACGAAACGGGACGGGACGGGACGGGACGTCGGCGAGCCTGTGTGCCGTGTGCGATGCGGACGAGCCCGAAGCCCGAAGCCCGAAGCCCGATGCGAGGAGGGAAAAAGAGGGCGCGCGTGAGAGCCACTGTACCGCGAGTGTACCAGCCAGCCTTCCCTGCCCATACCGATGATTACGTATGCGGGAATCATTGTCGAGTAACGCGCGATGCACATGCAAAGGCCAAAAATCGTCGAAATCA